AGCCTTCTGGTTAGCAGTCAAGTACCTTAGGCACTATGCTACCAGAGCTCCTTGGAAGGAAGATTGGGCAATCTATTTCCGTAGAGATACCATCTTAGAAACCCAAGGAGGGGTCGCTATGAATTGCAATCGACTCAACAGCGGTGAGTTTGAGGTGGGGGGGTTTCTTTTGGCACATAATAAGCACTCAAAAAAGAAAAAAAAGTAGTTGACTGACTGACTGACCTAAAGGCAGAAATTGAATCCCAAAAATACCAGTCATCTGAATGAGAGGTTATTTCAGTTTGTTTGCCATTATTTCTCTGTGTGCTAGGTACTGTGATATGCACACAGCTACATAGAGTCCTTTACCATGCTCAGGATGCTGAGATGTTCCTAGTGGAGGAAATAAGCAGGTTCATCGATCCAGTCATCCCTAGAGCTGTGCGCTGTGCACCCTGCACACTCACGGGACAGTCCTGCGTTGGCTCTCGTTACGGGAAAATCCAGGGCTGCTAGCTTCAGGAATAGCTTGATCCACGGTTGTCATCTCGGTTCCATCTCTCTCCCTCTCGTGTTCTCTGTTTCTTCTGTGTTGGCTTCATTCCTTTTGAAAGAGGTGTGTGTATGGCAAAATATAATGACAAAATGTGATATTTTAGCCATTTTTAGTTGCATGATTCCTTGACTTTAATTATACTCACCATGTTGTACACCCATCTATCTCCAAAAGTTTTTCATCATCCCAAACAGAAACTCAGTACCTTAAGCTACAACTCCCATTCCCTCTTGCCCCCAGCCTCTGGTAAGCACTAATAAACTTTGGTCTCTATATAGTTGCCTCTTGTAGATATTTCATAGACGTGGGATCATGCAGTATCTGTCCTTTTGTGTCTGACATACTTCACACAGCGTAATGTTTTCAAGGTTCATCCGTGTCATAGCATGTATCACAACTTCGTTTCTCTTTATGGCTGAGTAATATTTTACTGGTGTACATTGGCTTCATTCTTTAAAAATAATTTGTTCTGTTTTTTAAATAATTATTGTGTTTACATAACAGTTTAGGTTTCCATTCAACAATTTCTACACAAATTGCTCAGTAATGTTGGTTACATTCTTCACAATGCATGGGCATTCTCATTATTTCCACTCTTGTTGTTCCATTTCCATTAATCTAATTTCCCTATCCCCCTCACATTCTCATTTTTGTTGTCAAGTAATTGTTGACTGTTCAGTTTCCTAAAGGATTCTTTTAAAGGAGCAGGATTGGCTTCGCTCTTAGGCTTGCTCTCCTGACATGGCAGCTCTACGCTTGCTTTCTACTTGCTTCATCTCATTTCTAACAGCCAAAAGGAAAAAAAAAAAAGCCAAGAAAGGCTCTTATTGGCCTGGCTTGGGTCATGTGCCAATCACATTGGATTGAAATAAATGGTGGTAGGATCTTGCCTGGGTTGCTTACTGCCTTGGTTATCTAACCAAAAAAAAAAAAAAAAAAAAGCAAACCTGCTGCTATTGAGTCGATTCCAACTCAGTGACCCCTCCTTGGGTTTCTGAGGTGGTCTCTCTATGGAAGTGGATTGCCCAGTCTTCCAAGAGAAATAACTATAAGTGGATGGCTTGAACACAGAGATACTTATTTTCTCATAATTGAGGAGGTGGAAGTCTGAATTCAGGGTGCCAGCTCCAGGGGCAGGTCTTTGTCTCCTTTCATCATCTGTGGGTCTGGCATTCCTTGGAGAACTCCGAGTATGTTAGCATCAGTTTTCCCCTGAGTCTAGGAGGTTCTTAGCCCAGGGATCCAGGGTCCAAAGGACAGCTCTGCTCCTAGTAGGAGTGCCTCTCTTTGCTCACTTCTTTCTCCTTTTCTCTCTTTAAGATAAAAGGTATGACTTGAGCAGGGGTGTGACTTGAGTAAGGGTGTGTGACTTGAGAAACGGTGTAACTGGATATATCCCACACTAATCCTGCCTCAGTCACATATCAGGTTGGGATTTACCACACATCACAAAGGGAGGATAATTACGTCAGATAACAAAATCGAGGACAACCACACAGTGTAGGAACCATGGCCTGGCCAAATTGACATATGTTTTGGAGAAACAGTTCAATCCATGACACTTACCTATCTGGAACTAAGGTCATTCCCACTTAAAACAATGAACTGACCTAATAGACAAGGGGCCAGTAAACCTTTCTTTGTGAAGGGCCAGATAATAAATACTTCAGCCTTGTGGGGCATATGGTCTGTGTTACAACAACTCACTTCTGTCACTGTATCGCGAAAGCAGCCATGTTGGTGGTGTGTGCTGTTGAGTCGATTCTGAGTCGTAGCAACTCTGTGTGACAGAGTGGAACTGCCCCGTAGGGTTTCCCAGGCTGTATACTGGATGGGTGGGAGTACATTGCCGGGTCTTTTACCCTGTGGAGCCCCTGGTGGGTTCAAACTGTTAAGCTTTCAGTTAGCAGTTGAGTGCTTAACCATTGCACCACCAGGGCTCCTTAAAGCAGCCACAGACAATATGGAAATGATGAGCATGGCTATGCTCCAATAATGGTTTATTTATGGACTCAGACTGTGGACTAGGTCCTCTGGGATGGAATTTCACAGGTGGAGGTAGTCACAGGTGGGGAATCAGCCATGTACGTGGAGGTACCCCAGCCTCCTTCCTTGAAGATGGAGCTGTTTTCATTTAAGGGGGTGTGAGAAGAGTGATTAATATGGTACAGTCTTATTCCTGTCCCCCACGCCCACACCACATTTCACAGGCTTCATGTACCTTTACAGACTGGGAGCAGGAGGCAAGGAAATCCTGGGTATTTCCGCGTGTAACGTGCTTGGCTTTGTCCTTGCTATGACCTTATATTGTTCTTGAAAAACATCAAATCATTCTCATTTCATGCACATCTCAATACCTCATATAATTCAAAACTTGCATTTTTGAAAACTAATTTCCCGCAGGCCTAGGGATGCCATCTTGGAATGCATAAACCTAAAGCCATGATAATGCGTTAGCAGTATCAATCATTTATCCCCATCTCCAGCTTTTGGTTCTTTTCCTTTCCCTTCAGCATTCTCACCTAGTTTTATGAGGATTAGGGGCGGGGCAAGTCCTTAAAACCACCCTGTTTTAGTTTACAATGTATCGTACACCTACTCACTATGTACTATGCTCCATTCTAAGCATTTTCTGTGTTAACTCATTGAGTATTCACAGCAACCACATAAGGTGGCTACTGTAAGGAGCTCTGGTGGTGCAGTGGTTATGGCATTTGGCTACAAACCAAAAGGTTGGTGGTTTGAACCCCAGCTGCTTTGTGGGAGAAAGATGAGGCAGTCTGCTTCCATGAAGATCTACAGCCTTGGAAACCCAGTGGGGGTTGCTATGAGCTGGAATCGGCTCAATGGCAGTGAATTCGGTTTAGTTTATTATTATTACTATTTTTGGTTCAATCCCCTACTAAGAATTTGCATTTCCACCCCAGATATAAAAAACCAAACCAACCCCACTACCATTGAGTTAATTTTGACTCGCAGCAACCATATATAACAGAGTAGAACTGCCCCGTAAATTTCCAAGGCTGTAAATTTCCAGAGCAGGTAGTGGGTTTGAACCACCAACCTTTTGGTTAGCAACCCAGTGCCTTCAACACTGCACCCCGGGGCTCCTACCCCAGATACACTAAATCAGAATGTACAGTTTAACAAGATCCCCATGGAAATGCAAATTCTCACCAATGGGTTGAACTGCCATGAAACTGGTTTCAAACTCTGGTTCAAACCCAGAGGTTGTGCTCTTAATTGCTGTTAGTGGCCCTGGAGTCAATTCTGACTCATGGCAACCCCATGTGAAGAGCAGAACTGCTCTGTAGGGCTTTCAAGGGTGTGACCCTTTGGAATCTGATTGCCAGGCCTGGCTTCTGAGGTGCCTCTGACTGGGTTTGAACCACCACCCTTGTGGCTGGTAGTTGAGTGGAACTATTTATGCCACCCAGAGACCCCTGTGCTCTTAATCACTGCCTTGTATTGTCTCCTTCCCTGGGCTCTGCCCCCTCTCAAGCCCCCAAAGACGCTTTTCATTTTCTCAGCATTTTCCACCCTCATTGGGAGCACATTGAGTCATGGCTGCTACTAATTCACAGCTGTTTTGTCACATTGAACTTGAGTTCTTAAAGCATTGAGAATTCAGGTCCATTTTTGTAGCCATAACCCTGCCACTCAATGAACCCTTGGATGATATTGATATAGGATATTTTTAAACAAAGTGTTAAATTATAGACGCAAGTGACTGTTGAAATAGCAGAACACTTGTTACCAAAGTACTTGCACAAATTTTGATGCATATAAACAACCACATGGCTCACTCAGGCCTGACAACTGACAAGAGTCTAGTCTTTGGTTACCCAATGTGGTGTCACCATGTGGCAATAGCCTGAATAAGTTTACATATCCCTCCTCAGCTTTCAAACTGCAAATTCTTGACAGATTGGTTTAGACCGAGGAATATTTGCTTGCAGCATTTCATATTTTGTGCGCAGATTAAGATGTCATGGAGAGTTTCACACTGTCTCAAATTTGCATCATTCCAAGTCACATAAAATGGGTCTGAGAGCTGTTTTGTCATGGGCCCTTGGAGCCAATCCCTGGGGATTCCTTGGCAGTGTCTACCTGGCTTGGCAACCACTGAGACCTCTTCCCCTGCTATAGGATGGCCAGCAGGAGCAGCGACAAGGATGGTGACTCTGTCCACACAGCCAGCGACGTCCCACTGACTCCACAGACCAACTCGTCAGATGGGAGACGCTTGTCTTCAGACACCTCCAAGTCCACGTACAGCCTGACTCGGAGGATTTCCAGTAAGTGTCTCTGCCGCGACTCAGATGGGGTTCGGGATATCCTGGCCCAAGCAGGCCTGTGTTGCTCAGGCCCCATCCAGAGTCATTGAGTCCAAGCCCATGAGCTGGGCCCCTGGGGAAAATGAGCAGAGCTGGCTTTCCCAGATACTCTGCAGTGTCCTCAAGAAGAGATGTGAAGGGCACTGTTGTGCTAGGGAGGGTGGGGGGTGGCAGTCCAGGAGATCAGGAAGATAGAGCAGTAATGATTACATGACAGTGCGGCACCTGGTTTCTGCTAGGTTCACTCAGAACCAATCACTTCGATTGATTCTTTTTTTAACAGATCACCAGTTTGATTGAATGAGCTCAAGTGATGTCAGCATATGTTATTTCAGACCCTGAAAGGAGAATGTTACTTTATTATACAGCAGGGGTTATAAATCCCGATGTCTCGGGGGCTAGATGGATGTGTCAGTGTATAGACCCTCATTAAAGGTCCACACAGCCCTTGCTCTCATCCCTGTTCACCCCGGGCTAGGTCAGCAAATACCAGACCTGTCTCTGTTTCTTAGATGTGATAATTAGTTGGAACCACTCAAGAACTCCAGGGAAAGGAGTGTCTTGAATTTAGCATAAAAAAGAATATAAATGCCTAGGATGAGATCCAGGAGCTCTGGTCGTATAGTGCCTAAGGCACTTGACTGCTAACCAGAAGGCTGGCGGTTCAAACCCACCAGCCACTCCTCGGAAGGAGGGTTGGGCAATCTACTTGCATAGTGATACTGCCTTGGTAACCCATGGAGGGGTTGCTATGAGTCGGGTCCAACTTGATGGCACATACCAACAACAACAACAGGATGAGATCCAGAAGGGGTCTTGGTTCTGAAATGATAATATTTTGGAAATATTGAGCTAAATAAATATTACAATTAATCTCACCTTTTTATTTTTTAAAAAATGGCAGCTAATAGAAAATTTGAAATTATAGGCCTAGCTTGCATTTCTGGCTTGAATTGTTTCTTTTGGACAGCACTGGTCCAGACGGTTTCTAAGGCTCACACCCTGCTCCCAACACAGATGATTTCCTTCCATTTAGCAAGTCAAAGTCCTTCCCATGGACCATGCAAGAGTGTCATGATTTTAGCTGTTAAACAGATATATGGAGCATTCACGAGAATGCTGTGAGCTCATTGCTAGAATAGAGGGATGAGCAAAGGGAAGAATGATAGACCTGGGAGCCACTGGTTCTGCTAATTGATGGAGAAGAGAGAGGTTCCCCAGAAGAGATGAGGTTTGGGTGTGATCCTTGAAGACAAAATAGAAAACACAGTTGCCATTGAGTTGACTCCAACTCATGGTGACCCGTGTATCTCAGAATAGAACCATGCTCCCCTGGGTTTGCAGTGTCTTGATCTTTCAAAGGAGATCACCAGGGCTTGCTTCTGAGGCACCTGGAGGTGGATTCGAACACTGGTCTTTCCGTCAGCAGCTGAGCGTGTTAACCATTCATACCACCCAGGGACTCCCAATACCAAAAGCCACTGCTGTCAAGTCGATTCTGACCCATAGTAACCTCCGTTAGGCTTTCCGAGGCTGTAAATCTTTATGGAAGCAGACTGCCTCATGTTTTTCCTGTGGAGCATCTGATGGGTTCGAACCATCCACCTTTTGGTTAGCAGTCAAATGTCTTAACCACTGAACCACCAGAGCTCTCCTTAGACACTCTAATAGTTATCATTTATTGAGGTTTTGCTAGGTGCACATTCTGTTCAAACCCTTTCCATGCATTGGCTCAGTGAAGATTCACCACAATCTGATGAGATCATATTATTGACTCCATTTTACAGACGGGGAAACCGAGTCCCAGAAAGGCTAAAAAATGTAGCTGAATTTGCATTCAACTTGTGCAGTCTGGCTCTAGAGTCTATGCCCTTAAGGTAGAGGCAGAACAGGGTAGTAGTTGGCACCCAAACTCCTGGCTCCATCACGTACTAGGTGTGTGCCCTTTGGCAAGTTACTTCAATTTTCTGTTTCTTCCTCTCTAAAATGGGGATGATGGTAATTGACTATCACTGCAAGGAGTGAAGATTAAATGAGTTAATACATGCAGTGTGCTTAAAACCAAAAAACTCCAAACAAATCTGTTGCTGTCGAGTCAGTTCCAACTCAGGGCACCCCCAGTTGTAATAGAGTGGGCTGCTCCATGGACCTTTCTTGACTGTAACCTTAACAGAAGCAGATCGCCAAGGGTGGATTCAGACTGCCAATCGTGACATTAGTAGTCATAGGTGAGTGCAAACTGTTGGTACAGCTTTGTTCCTGCGCTTAGAATGGTGTCTGACACTTAGCTGTGATGGTGATGGCGATGGTGAGGATGATGCCACCATGCTGCCTTTTATAGAATTAACACGAGTATCTCAAGGTGTAGAGAGAAGGTGGTGAAGAATGCCGGGAAGTAGAGTGAGCTCGTGAGAACCCGTGAAATGTCGCTGATGTGACGGTGTAGGTCAGGGCTCACTCTGTGTGTGGCGATGTTCATTGTTATTTCTGATGGCTGTGTAGGTCTCGAGTCAAGACGACCCAGCTCCCCACTCATTGATATTAAGCCCATTGAGTTTGGCATTCTCAGTGCCAAGAAGGAGCCTATCCAGCCTTCAGTGCTGAGACGGACCTACACTCCAGATGACTACTTCCGGAAGTTTGAGCCCCGGCTGTACTCCCTTGACTCCAGCAGCGACGATGTGGACTCCCTGACAGATGAGGAGATCTTATCCAAGTACCAGCTGGGCATGCTGCACTTCAGTACCCAGTACGACTTGCTGCACAACCACCTGACAGTAAGGGTGATCGAGGCCAGGGACCTGCCACCCCCCATTTCCTGCGATGGCTCGCGCCAGGACATGGCCCACTCAAACCCCTATGTCAAGATCTGTCTCCTGCCAGACCAGAAGAACTCTAAGCAGACTGGGGTCAAGCGCAAGACCCAGAAGCCAGTGTTTGAGGAACGCTACACCTTTGAGATCCCCTTCCTAGAAGCTCAGAGGAGGACCCTGCTCCTAACTGTGGTGGATTTTGATAAGTTCTCACGCCACTGTGTCATTGGGAAAGTGTCCGTGCCTTTGTGTGAGGTTGACCTTGTGAAAGGCGGGCACTGGTGGAAGGCACTGATCCCCAGTTCTCAGGTAAGTGGGCAGTTTGCAGTGACTCCTCTGGGAGCGTAAAAAACAAATTAAATTTTATTTTATTCAAAAGTATGAATAATTTTTGCATTTTTGAAGCTTTTTATTTTGAAAGAATTTTAGAATCACAGGGAGTTACAAAATAGTACGGACAATTCTGTGTTCTCTTCCTCTGGCTTCCCCCAGTGATCACATTGAATACAGCCCTAGTATGGTATCGACATCTGGAAATTGACATTGATACAGTGCTCCTAATTAAATTAAACTTTTTTTTTTACGTAACTTTTTATTGTGACCTGTGAGCTTACAGAGCACATTTAACAGTTCATACACATTTTGCTTTGACGTTGCCTGCAATCCCCTCAAGGTAATAGCACTCCTGCCATTTCTTTCCTTTATCATGTTCCTTCATCCTTGTTTCCTGTCCTTTCCTTCCTTCTGAGCTTTATCCTGAGTAATTGCTGCCCTTTTGATTTCATATGGTTGACTGTTCTAAGGAGTGCATACCGCCCTGGTGGTGGTGTTCACTTTAGAGACCTGTTGACTGTTTGGCTGAAAGTGGAGACATGGGTAAGTTTGGTTCCAGACTTGAAGGATGTCTAAGGGCTGTAGTCTTGCGGGTACCGTCAGTCTCTGTTAAGCCAGTAAGCCTGGTCTTTTGTTATTATTTTGTGTTTTGTTCTACATTTTTTTAAAGAAATAATTTTAGGCTCATAGGAAGTTGCAATAATAGTTCAGAGAGTTCTGTGTATTCTTCATCCAGTTTCTCCCAACGATAACATCATACGTGACCTTAGTATATTACCAACACCAGGAAATTGACATGGATACAATGCTATTAATGAAATTGGAGATCTTATTCAGATGTCACCCATGTTTACATGCACCACTCTTCCCTTCGTTCCTTCCCTTTTTTGGTGTGTAGGCCTATGAAATTTATCACGTTAGGTTCATGTAACTACCACCACCCTGGGAGCTTTCATGATTGATGCTGGCTTATTTAATAAGAAGAATGATGGGGTATGGAGCTATCAATCATTTTGACTTTCAGAAATTATCTTGGGAAAAAAAATGAGGAATAGAGAACAGGATGATAGATGGATGTTTTCCAGGCAAATTGTTAGATTGGCGTCCTTCCCTCTTCCAGCTCCGGGAAATGCAGTCAGCTGCTTGAGAAGCCTCCCACGGACCAGGCTTTGTCTGCAGGGGGCTTATTGAGCCCTTCTTCTGGGCATTCCTGTGTGCTGAATGTTACCAGTGCACCCACTGTGGCTAGAAGGATGTAGTGGGGAGTGGGAACCGCTGGAGGCAAGAAGCCCTGGGGGCCGACCAGCGGTCTCTAGCATTATGGCCAGACCTCTCCATGGTGGCTTGGGCTCCAAGATGTCTAAAACAGAAGCCTCCAGGCCTCTTGAGATCTAGGCTAAGAACCACCACATTTTGATGGTCACCCCAACGCCAATCAAGGGGTAAGAAAATACACTCTTAATGGGAGAGATGGATGTGTGCCAAGGTGGCAAGATTTCATGGCAGCCATATTTGGATGCAGTGTCTACACTGTCAGAAATGTAAGAGCAGGAGTTATATGCCTCGTCATCATTGCTGTGTCCCCAGTGTTTAGCGTGGTGTCTATCGTGCTATGAGTATTCACTGTGTATTTGTTGAACAAATGAACAAAACGGTACCATTGGAGTCGAAAGTGAAAATCCAGAGGAAAGGAGGAGAAGTAGTGTGCTTATAAAACACACAATCCCTGTTGGTCCTCCAGAAACCTGAACTTGTTCCAGTGATGGATGGCTCAGGCCAGGGTCAGAGTTTCCCTGGCCTTGTTAGGTCAGCTCACTCCTGAGGACTGGGAGGAAAAGGTCCATGGAGGGTCGCTGACAGGAGAGTCTGAGAAACAGACAAACGTGCGACCCCAGATGCCATGTTTGTGGCCATTGGGGTGATAGCTCCACTGTGAGATGCTCAGGATTCCTGATGTTAGATGTTCTTCCTGATCTTAGCCCTTCTTAGTACTCACTGTTGAAACAAAACTCAATTAAACCAGTAATGGAAATTGTTGGAAATTTATTTAGTACACAATTTGTAAATCAGGGTAATATTTTGACTAGAAATATTATCAAATCAAAAATGTTCAAAGGTGAGAAGAACTTCCAAAATTTTTATTGACATTGCCATGGGAAAAGGGCCAGAGGAAAACTGATAAACAATTTGTGATTGGAAAGAATTTCATGCAGCATTGTGTCGAAGAACAATTGAAATAATTACAGATTTACCCTAGACATAACTTCCAATGTGCAGTGTGGTGAATTGTTGGTGTGGCCCTTCTAACCATGGTCTTTGGAACTCCTGCCAAATGACCAGGTGGGACTATGCAAATGTGAAGTGCTTATAGTCCACTAAAGGGATTGGATAGCTTGCTAATAATGTAAATAAGGTGTATGGTACCTGCGGTAGTTCAGTTTGTGTGTCAACTTGGCTGGGCCTGGTTGAGTGGCTGGGCAGCTGGTGGTAGTTATTTCCCATGATGAGACTGGCAGTCAACTCCATGGTGGAACCTACCACAAGCAGCTAAGTAGCTGCTTTGGGTATGTGGTCTGCTTCCCATATATAAGGAGGCCTTGGGAATGGTCTCTAGCCTTTGGCATGCTTGGACCCTGCATGTAGCTGTGTTGTTGCTCAATAGCTTGCTGTACTCTGCCGATCTTGGGACTTACAGTGGACTTCAGTTAATGGCCTGCTGTGTGGTTTGGTAACATCGGGACTGTGCCTTTTGACTTGTCAACCTTGGGGCTTCTCAGCCTCAGCAGCCAGCAGCTGTCTGAGTGAAGAAATGCCTCTGGCTCCAGCGGGCCGGGAGCAGGAGGCAGAGCTGGACCCCAAGGTTGAGGGGCTTTCACCCAGCCCCTAGAGCCTGGCACTTTGAACTTGGACTTAAAGTCTCCAAATTGTAAGAGAATAAACTCCTGTTTGTTCAAGCCATCCTGTTTGTAGTATATTCTGGTCAGAGCAGCACCAGGGAACCAGAACAGCACCCTTGTAAGGGTTCTTGTCATTAGGTGCCATCGAGGTGTTTTTGACTCACGATGACCCCATGTACAGCAGAACGAACCCCTGCCTGGTCCTGCACCATCCTCAGTCATGGCTGTTTGAGCCTGTGGTTGCAGCCTCTGTGTCAGCCATCTTGTTGAGGGTCTTCCTGTTTTTTGCTGACCATCTACTTTACCATGCATGATGTCCTTCTCCAGGGACTGGTCTGTCCTAATAACGTGCCCAGAGTACAAGAGACAGAGTTTCACCATCCTCACTTCTAAGGAGCATTCGGCTGTACTTCCTCCAGGACAGAATTTTTCATTCTTCTAGTAATCCTTGGTGCAGTCACTGTTCTTCACCAACACCGCAATTCAAATGCATCTGTTCCTCTGTCTTCCCTATTCATTGTTCAGCTTTCACATGCATATGGGCTGTTGAAAAGACCGTGGCTTGGGTCAAGAGTACCTTAGTCTTCAAAGTGACTTCTTTGCTCTTTAACACTTTAAAGAGGTCTTTTGCGACAGGTTTGCCAAATGCAGTATGTCCTTTGATTTCCTGACTGCTGCTTCCTTGGGTGTTGATTATGGAGGCAAGGAAAATGAAATCCTTGACAACTTTAATCTTTTCTCCATTTACTGTCATGCTATTTACTGGTCCAGTTGTGAGGATTTTTGTTTTCTTTATGTTGAGGCGTAATCCATACTGAAGGCTGTAGTCTTTGATCTTCATCAATAAGTGCTTCAAGTCTTCTCTTTTCAGCAACAGGGTTATGTTATCTGCATATCACAAGATGTAAATGTATCTTCCTCCAATCCCGATGCTCCATCTAGCTTCCTATAGTACTGCTTCTTGGATTATTTGTTCAGCATATAGATTGAATAAGTATGGTGAAAGGACATGCACCTGACATACAACTTTCCTGATTTTAAACCATGCAGTATCTCTCCTTGTTCTGTTCAAACAGCTGCCTCTTGGTTTATATACAGGTTCTTCATGAGTACAGTTAAGTGTTCTGGAATTCCCATTCTTTGCAGTGTTACCCATAATTTGTTGTGATCTACACCACTTACTGCCTTTGCATAGTCAATAGGACACAAGTAAACATCTTTCTGGCATTTGTTGCTTTCAATCAAGATCCCTCCGACGTCAGCAATGATATCCCTACTTTCATGCCCTCTTCTGAATTTGGCTTGACTTTCTATCTGCCTTCAACAGGCAGCTCCCTGTTGATGTTCTGGTACAATCATCTTTGTGTTGTTTTCAGCAGAATTATATTTGGGTGTGATATTAATAATGATACTGTTTGATAATTCTGCATTCTGTTGGATCGTTTTTCTTTGGAATGGGCAGAATATGGTTCTCTTTCAGTCAGTGGACCAGGTACCTGCCTTCCAGATTTCTTGGCCTAAATGAGTGAGTACCTCCAGTGCTCCTTCTGTTTGTTGAAACGTTTCTATTGCTGGAGTCTTGTTTTTCACCAATTTATTCAGTGCTACTTGGACTTCTTCCTTAAATACCATTGGTTCTTTATCATATACTACCTCCTAATACTGTGGAACATCGACCAGTTCTTTTTGGTACAATGACTGTGTATTCCTTCCATCTTTTCTTGATGCTTCCTGCATCATTCAATATTTTGCCCATGGAATCCTTCAGTATTCCAAGTGGAAGCTTGATTTTTTTTTTCTTCAGCTTGAGAAATGCCAAGTGTGTTCTCACCTTTTGATTTTCTGACTCCGGGTTTTTGCACATTTCATAATAATACTTCACTTTGTCTTGTTGAGGCATCCTTTGAAATCTTCTGTTCAGCTCATATAGTTCATCATTTCTTCAATTTGTTTTAGCTACTCTCCATTCAAGGACAAGTTTCAGAGTCTCTTCTGATATCCGTTTTGGTCTTTCTTCCCTATCTTTTTAATGACCTTTTGCTTTTGTCATGTCATCCCACAACTTGTCTGGTATTTGGT